AGGGGATCCCCTAAATGTCCCTACTTTGGCCGGTGGCCTCCCCCTCCCTCCGCCCAGGACATTCTGCCTCTTCCTACGCTTAGGCTCCTCCCCAGGCCTCAGCCCTGCATTTCTGTGACAACGCAAGAGTGACTTCTAGACAGTCAGGCCCAGAAGAAGGAGAGCGGAGTTGGCAGGGACTGGAGAGAGCAGTTGGTCAGGAAGCCGGCCGCCCGTTGTGCAGGACCCGGGGCCCGCAGGCTCCTGCCCTCCGTACAATGCCACGTTGATACACCCGGCAGCTGTGACTCAGGCCTGGCCCTCGGCCAGCCCCAGCGTCTCTGCTGGAGTCGCGTCTGAACATGTCCACAGGCCTCCCGGCCTCCTCTCAGCACCGGCCCCTCTCCCCCAGCCTCCCCCTGCCCACAGTCACCACCTGGCTTTGTCTTGGGGGGGCAGCTGGGTCCCCCAACCCCAGGCCTGTGCGGTGGGCGGAAGCAGAGCCAGGCCTGTGTGGGAAGGCAGGGGTGGGGCCCACCCTGAGGGGCCTACCTGCGCTTTCCGCTTTCCACCTCACCACGCTCAGAAAGTCAGCGGGTGGGGTTCGGAGACAGCTCTGGGGGGACTTCGAAGGGCCTGGAGCACCTGTTCCCCCAGCTCCTCTCTCAAAGGCCTCTTCTGCAGACAGGGCTGCTGCCTTGAGCCCCGGATGTCCCCGTCTTCCCACACCCAGCCCTCAGCAGGCGGTGGCACACCCACAGACCAGCCAAGAAACCTAGCAGCGGGCCCTTTTCGGGGTGGGGGTGTCCGGCCCCACGGCTTCACGCCCCACTGTGGGAGCGTGTGCGTTGGGGCCGCATCACTCCTGGATTGGGGAGGCAGAGGCAGACGCCTCTCCCAGGCTGTCTTCCGGGGTGTCCGTGTGCCACCCTCCTCGCACCCCCGTGCCGTTCTCAGCGCTCTGCCCCTGTCTGCTGTGAGTGCCCTCAGGTGACCCGGTGGGCAGGTTTTCAGTGCCTGGGCCTTCCCTTGTCCAGGCCTCGGTTTCCCCACCGGTAGAGGTGCAGGGGCTGGCCCAGAGCAGGGCCGGAAGACTGGATTGTGTGGACTCCTAGGCCCCAGGCATTCCAGGCACAGCCTGGAAAAGCCCCAGGCCTTAGTGGACAGATAGTAAGGCGCCAGGTGAAAACAACAGCTGAGCACATATGGGGGTGGGGACTAGAGCGCAGGGCAGCAGCGCCTGAGGCCCGGGGAGGTGGGTGTGCAGTCTGCAGGGGGAGGAGCTGCGGAAACAAAGGGAGGGGTGGCCACAAGGGCCCCCCCTCACTGGCAGGAAGTCGGCTTGGGCCAAAGTCTGCAGTGCAGGGAGAAGAGGGGACCGCTGTGGCCCTGCGGCCCACCCGCGCGCCCATCCTGCCGCGGGGGGCGCCCTCCCTGCACTGCCCTGCCCTGCCGCGGGGGGCGCCCTCCCTGCACTGCCCTGCCCTGCCGCGGGGGGCGCCCTCCCTGCACTGCCCTGCCCTGCCGCGGGGGGCGCCCTGCACTGCCCTGCCGCGGGGGGCGCCCTCCCTGCACTGCCCTGCCCTGCCGCGGGGGGCGCCCTGCACTGCCCTGCCGCGGGGGGCGCCCTCCCTGCACTGCCCTGCCCTGCCGCGGGGGGCGCCCTGCACTGCCCTGCCGCGGGGGGCGCCCCGCCCTGCCGCAGGGGGCGCCTTCCCCTGAGGGGCTCCGAGACCTTGCCCCTCTGCCCCCCGCCCCACCCCTCTCTCTCGTCCTGGGGTCGCGCCATGGGGAACTCTGTGTACCGGTGAGGCTGAGGGGCTGAGGCTGGAGGGGCCGGGGCCGGGCAGCGCCTGGGAGCCCCGTGCCGGCTTCCCTCCCACTTGAGCGTCGCGCGAGGCGAGGTCTCTGCCCCGTATCTCTTCCTCAGCGTCGTGGAGGAGGAGACGGGGGCCCCGCAAGTCGCCCCCAGCAACGGGGCCCAAACAGGCCTGGGCGGTCTGGCTTCCATATCTGGCACCCGAGCCGGGCCGAGGAGGGTGACTCAGCGGGCGGGCCAGCCCCTGGCCCTGAGCCCAGCCGGCCCCTGTGCTGCTCCGACGCCGCCTCCGCCCGGCAGACCCCCGGCCTTCCCGCCCCTCCCCCTCCTGAGATGGGAGCTGCCAGCCGTGGGAAGAGCCAGAAACAGGATGCCCGGCCCTTGTCGCCTCACGAGGCCCCTGGGATGCAGCGCGCTCGCTCTCGTGCGGAGGAGCCTGGACGGGAGGGCTGGGGCAGGACCTGGGCGAACTTAGGGGCTCCCCTGTGAGCGCTACAGGATTTCCCGGCCCGGCCTGGGTATTGTCCGCCCCGGGATGAGTCACCTGCAGCCCAGCTCCCCGCCGGCCGCACCCACTGCCCGCTGGCCCTGGCACCTGCGCGCGCGCTGCCCAGACAGGGTTGGTCTGCCGTGGTCCCTCCGGGCGCTGGGGGGGGGGGGGGGGGGGGGGGGCAGGAGAGGCGCTGCGCCCTGCCCCACCCCAGCCCTTTCTTGGGGTGTGCGGTGGCTCCCCAGCCACAACTCCGAGGGCTGAGTCATGAGCCTGTGGGTGATAGTGGCTTCTTCCCCACAGATGGAGCTCCCCAGCCTGACTGAGAAAACCGCGGGGGCCCTTCCCCTCCTTGCGTGCTGGCGGTTTTCCCCTGTGGGCAAAGCTAGTCCGGCCTCCAGCCCCCCTGTTCCTCGTGAGGCCCCCCAGCCCCTCCGGCTGCCCAGCTACTGACGTGCTGCGGGGCCTGGACGTGCTCTGTGCCTCAGGGTCCCTGGTCCCACGGTGACGTGGCCAGGCAGCTGGGCAGACCGAGCGCGCCCGCTAATGTGGAGCAGCGCCTGCTCCGTGATCAGCCCGCGGGACTGAGGGCTGGCACCCTCTCCTCTGTTCTCCGCTGGCGGCGAAGGCCTTTCCCCAGAGATGCCGCCTGAAGGGGGGGGGGGGCCTCCTTCACATCTCCCCCAGCCCAGGCCACCCCCTTCCTCTTGTGGCCGTGGCGGGCAGTGTGGCAGAGGGGACAAGTCCCCAGCAGAAGCGTGGGTGGGCCATGACCCTGTCCCTGCTGTCACTGCGTGCCACACTCGACATGGGCCACTTGCTTCCCTTCCCTGCATCTGTTTCCTCATCTGTGCAAGGAGGGCTTGAGCTGGCCTCACCCTGAGCCCCCTCCAAGTGCCGAGAGCTGGCCGTGGCCGTGGCCGTGGCCGTGGCCGATAGCCTGCAGGCAGGGGAGGCCTCTGCCGGGCAGGCCCCGCACCTGGAGCCGGCCCAAGGAAGCCGCGAGCCTGCGCCGCCGGGGAGCTTCACTTTACCAGCGGTTTCTTCTCTTTCTTCCCCCCGCCCCGCACCCCCCCCTCCCTGCAGCTGGCTCAGCTTCGGAAAAGTTCTGAAGTCATGGAAAGTTGGGGCTGTGCTCCCAGCCAGGGGCTGGGCCGGATGGCAGCCAAAACCTGAGCTGGGTTTTGACTTTATTTTTAGCTTTTCTGGCTGAGCCGGAGGAGGGGAGGCATCCTCCTCCAGCTCTGGAAGGGCCTCTTCTCACGGGAGCCCACACTGCTGCCTGTTCCGAGGCGTGGCCAGAGGTGTGGCCAGAGGCGTGGCCAGAGCCGCGAGGTTGTCTGGGAGTTTGAGGTCTCCCTCCAGGTCTTCTGGTCAGTCTACCTCCACCTCGCTGGGTGTCACTGTGTCCCCGTCCTGGCGGAGCCTGAGCTGGTGGCAAGAGAGTGCTGCCTGTCTGGGACCCTCCCCGCAGAGCCGCCTCAAGGCTGACCTCTGCCACTGTACCGCGTCACCGTCACCCGTGTCACCGTCGCCGCTGGGTCCCTTGGAGCTTAGGGCCTTTGCAGAGGGAAAAAATGCTGGCACAGCCCCTCTGCTTCTTCCCAGGACAGAAATTTCCCCGCCCGTCCACGTTTGGTTTCCCTTGTTTCCCTTCTGCCACGTGGGCTCACGCTTGAGACTCAGGAGTTACTGATGGCAGCCAGGGCCCGGCCCGCTGGCTCTTTCCCTGGGTCCGCGCTTTCTCTCACCAGATGCTGGTGGGGTGATCGTAACATCTGGAAAGCTCTTGGGCTCCCCGGAGGTTTGGACCCCTCTGTTTCTCCAGTTCAGTATCTTTGGGGCCCAGAGAATGGAGGAAAGTGGGAGAGGCATCCCCTGCGTGTGTGCTTATTCGGCTACAGCTTTACCCACTTTGAGGAGGGGGGAGGTTCAAGGCTGGGGCCCGGATGGACCTGGAGGCCCAGAGGCCACCTCTGGAGCCAGAGGCTGAGGTTTGTGGCCGAAGGGTAGGCTTTAGCTTTCTCTGGAGCTCTGTAAGGCCCGGAGGGAGGGTGGCTGGACCCCCTCCCCGCCCCCCCCCCATGCAGCCTGGGTCTGGAAAGGGAGGGGCCGGTACCGAGCCTGGGTGTCCTCACCCCTGACTTTTAACCAGACTCTCCCTCTGCAGAGTCCCCGTGTGTAAAAGGGGCCAGGAGAGGTGACTGGTACCTTGGGGGCTCAGACTGAGAAGCTGTAGGGACGCCTGGCCCCCGGGACGGGGAGGCTGTCTGGCTGGGTCCCTGCGGGGAGAAGGCCTGGCTGAATGGAGGGGAGGTGGAGGCAGGGAGGAGGAGGTTAAGGCCCTGTGTGGGAAGGGGCAGGAGACAAAGGTGGCCCTGTCTCTCTGGGAAGGAACGGGAGGAGAGAGAGGGAAAGGCATTGATCTCACGGGATTGCGCTTTGCCCTTCGCCCCAGGCACGTTCCTGAGCACTGAGTCATGGGAAGGGTGGAGAAGCTGGAAGGGGGTTTTGGGGACCTTGGGGGAAGTGGGAGTCCAGCCCCAGAGGCGGGCAGATGCTAACAAGCCACAAGCAAGGACGCCCTCTCCTGGCAGTTTGAGGGACAGCCAAGCCAGGCCCTGGCTTCTGGAGGTGGCTTCTGGCTCTCCCTGGGGGACCTGGCTCTCTCTAGGGACTCTAACTAAGCCCTCTCTTCCCTTGCCTCTGTAGCAATACCAAGAAGGAGGGCGACTTGATGGCCGCCCAGGCCCGGCTCAAGGACCTGGAGGCCCTGCTCAACTCCAAGGAGGCCGCACTGAGCACGGCGCTCAGCGAGAAGCGCACCCTGGAGGGCGAGCTCCATGACCTGCGCGGTCAGGTGGCCAAGGTGAGGCCGCCCCCCGGGGCCCGCCGGGACCCCCCTCCCCCCAGAGAAGTGCAGGCTCGCCCCGCCCACCCTTTCAGCCCACTTCGCTCTCTGAGGCACCTGTCGGTCCCGTTACACGGACGGGGCTTCAGAGCCCTTCTCCTGCCCTGGCGCCACTTCACCTGTCCCCGCCTGGCCGCCTCCTGCCCGGGCCTCAGGCCCAGCGGGCGCACAGTCGTCCGCAGCTGGGCGCCTGGCCGGGAGAACGTGCGAGTCGGGCTCCGAGCCTCACGCGGGCATACAGCTTACGTTCATAAATACAATAAAATAGGCCGCAGACGTTTCCACTTAGGTCCGCGACGAACCCTGCCTGGCCCTGGGTCCCTCCTGGTCTGGCCGTCCTGTAAGAGAGCTGAGGTCTCTGGAAGGCAGAGCCGGCCTGAAGCCGGGCGTGGATGGTTAATCACGTGCAGGACGCCTGTTCCTGACGCCGGGCGTGTGTATTGTTGCGTTTCCTTCCAAAGCGCTTTGTTGTCTGTCCTGTGCTCTCGTCTCTCATCACAAGCTCGGCACAGAATCAGAGAAGCCAGCTTGCTCCCGGTTCTGCAGCCTCACTGCTCAGAGCCGGGCTAGGACCAGGGTCAGGGGCCAAGCTCTCTGGGCCCTGCCCTCTCCAAGGCCCCGCCACCCAGTGCACCCAGCACACGGGGGACGCCAGCGGGCTGAGGGCTAAGCCTGGGCTGGAACCTTCTCCAGGCATCTTGCCTGCAGGTGTGCCGGTCGGCAGGCCTCCCTGGGACCCCAGTCTGGGAGAGAGGCTCTGCCACTCAAACTTCAGACATCTTTCTGTGGCGGAGAAGGGGGCATCTCTCCCCAGGCCAGCCCCTGCCTTCCTGCGCTGCCGCCCTCCCGTGTTGCCAGCCCCGGGCCCTGCCTGGGCACCTGCCGGCTCTGGCGGTACTGACGAGGGCCCCGCAGCCCATGTGCCTCACCCCTCCGGGCCTTTACTCGGGCTCTGCTCCTGTGGGCACGGGTGTCCCCAGCCCGCCCCCGGCACATCCCATGAGCCTGTCCTGCTGGCCTCAGACCCCCCTGCGGCCCCAGGCACGCCGCGCTTCCTCTGTACTCTGGACATGCGTCCTGTGGAGCACCTGCTGCGTGTGGGGCCTCCTTCCTTTTCTTAGCACAGTACCTGCCCGGGGTGGCTCCGGCGAGGGACGGACCCCGTTCTCTCCATGATGGCTGAGGCTGTCCGTCCCCTGGGCCTGTCCCTCACCTCTGGGCCTCCTTCCTCCCAGCTCGAGGCCGCTCTGGGCGAGGCCAAGAAGCAACTCCAGGATGAGATGCTGCGACGGGTGGACGCAGAGAACAGGCTGCAGACCCTGAAGGAGGAGCTGGACTTCCAGAAGAACATCTACAGCGAGGTGGGGGCTGTGCCCCATGCGCCGGAGGGGCAGGGCTGGGCAGCAGCAGTGGGCAGGGCTCGGCTGCCCAGGTGCCAGAGCGCGGGGTGCCGGCGCCCGGACCCCGGCTTACGGAGGGAGGCCAGGGGCCCCACTCACGGGTAGGCCGGGGCAGGGGGCCCGGGCCGCCTCCTCCCCCGAGGCGAGTTCTGATCTGGGTTCCGTGTCCCACCCGCCCGCGCAGGAGCTGAGAGAGACCAAGCGCCGCCACGAGACCCGGCTGGTGGAGATCGACAACGGCAAGCAGCGCGAGTTCGAGAGCCGGCTGGCGGACGCGCTGCAGGAGCTGCGGGCGCAGCACGAGGACCAGGTGGAGCAGTATAAGAAGGAGCTGGAGAAGACCTATTCTGCCAAGGTGCCTGCCCAGCCCCCCGCCGCCCGCGCCCCGCACCCCCGCGGCCCCTCCCGTCCCCGAGGCCCTAACCCCGTGCTCTCCCCTGAAGCTGGACAACGCCAGGCAGTCGGCGGAGAGGAACAGCAACCTGGTGGGGGCCGCGCACGAGGAGCTGCAGCAGTCCCGCATCCGCATCGACAGCCTGTCGGCCCAGCTCAGCCAGCTGCAGAAGCAGGTGCCGCCCGCCCCGCCTCCCTCTGTCCCCCCCTCCCGCCTCGCCTCTATCCCACTCGGAGCCAGGGGGCTAGTGGCAGTGGCCGGGCGGGGCTGTAGGGCCTAGAGGAGGTGGGGGCAGAGGCGAGGGCCCGAATGTGCCCCAGGACCCCAGGCTGCCGCGACCTGGCTGCCGCTCCAGGCCTCTTATGTCGCCTGAGGGACCCTCACTCCTCAGAGCCTTGGCTTCCCTGTTTGAAAACAGCGGCTCCACCTGCCCCCGACGAGGCCCGGTGTGCAGGGTTCAGGCCTCCGCGACTTCCCGGCTGGCCATGCACGGGTGGCTGCGGGAGGCACGTTCCGGGCTCGGGAGCAGGGATTTCAGTTAGATGCAGGGAAGGGCTTCTGCGGGGCTCTGGTGCGGCGAGAGCCTGGGGAGGGCGGCCGGGGGGCCCTGGGAGCTCACCGGACCCCGGACCCCTCGCCCAGCTGGCAGCCAAGGAGGCAAAGCTGCGTGACCTGGAAGACTCGCTGGCCCGGGAGCGTGACACCAGCCGGCGGCTGCTGGCGGAGAAGGAGCGGGAGATGGCGGAGATGCGGGCGCGGATGCAGCAGCAGCTGGACGAGTACCAGGAGCTGCTGGACATCAAGCTGGCCCTGGACATGGAGATCCACGCCTACCGCAAGCTCCTGGAGGGCGAGGAGGAGAGGTGGGGCTGGGCGCGCGGGGGGCGGGGGGCCACCCCCCTGCAAGCCGGCCACCCCCGCCTTGACGAAGCCCCTCCGTGTCCCCCTCGCCAGGCTGCGCCTGTCGCCCAGCCCCACCTCGCAGCGCAGCCGCGGCCGCGCCTCCTCGCACTCCTCCCAGACGCAGGGCTCGGGCAGCGTCACCAAGAAGCGCAAGCTGGAGGCGGCCGAGAGCCGGAGCAGCTTCTCCCAGCATGCTCGCACCAGCGGCCGCGTGGCCGTGGAGGAGGTGGACGAGGAGGGCAAGTTCGTGCGGCTGCGCAACAAGTCCAGTGAGGTAGGTGCCCCGCCCCCCGCCCGACACTTCCCCCAACCCCTGCCCACCCCCCACCCCGCGCCCCGGGCCCCAGGGGCTCCAGCTCGAGGAGGGAGCAGGGCGCAAAGGAAAGGGTGGCGCCTGGATGGAGCAGTGCCCGTCCCGGAGGCGGGCGAGGCAGTGCGTGTCCCTCCGCCCTGCTTGGCTGGCTCCGGACTCCCCCCTGGCTGTGAGCCCCACCCCCCGCCGTGAGCACCCGAGATGAATAACAGCCCTTCCTCAGCCTTTTGAGTTGCTAGAAGTGCGAGCGTGCAAGATCCCGCCTGAGCATCCGCAGACCTCAGTGTTATTGAGGGGGGGGGGCTTACCCCTGCTCTTGAGCAAAAGGGACCTGGCAGCCTAAGTGAGCCTCCCCCGCCTTCCTCTTCCCTTCCTTCCCTGCAGGACCAATCCATGGGCAACTGGCAGATCAAGCGCCAGAATGGAGATGACCCCTTGCTGACCTACCGCTTCCCACCAAAGTTCACTCTGAAGGCCGGGCAGGCGGTGACGGTGAGTGGCAGGTGTTTGGGACCCCGGGGGCGGCCCTGGGTGGGGGAGGGGTTGGCCTGAGGGTGGGCACGCTGGACTGAGCACTTTTCTAATCCTGCCCCCCCCAGATCTGGGCTGCGGGAGCCGGGGCCACGCACAGCCCCCCTACTGACCTGGTGTGGAAGGCGCAGAACACCTGGGGGTGCGGCAACAGCCTGCGCACGGCTCTCATCAACTCCACCGGGGAGGTGAGTGTGCGGGGGGTGGGGGGGCGGTCAGCCCCACGGGGCCAGTCCAAGGCTACTCTGTCTGCACTGTCCCTCCAGTGCAGCCTCAGGCCCTAGACTCTCCGCTAGACTCTCCAGTGCTTAAACCCAAAGATGCCTCCCCGCCCCGCCCCTCCCCCCCCCGCAGCCGTGAGGGGTGGAAGGCGGACAGCAGGGCTGTCAGAGCCTGGCAGTGTCCCCCTGGGGAAGAAAAGCCCCTTGGCTCTCAGCCCACAGAGGAGGGCAGCAGCCTGGACAAAGGGCGGGCTGTAGGAGAGGCTCTTCGATGGCCGCTGTGGGTACACACCCCTCCCCCGGCCCCGACCCGCTGACCCTGGGGCCGGTCCCGTGTCCCCCGCAGGAGGTGGCCATGCGCAAGCTGGTGCGCTCGGTGACCGTGGTCGAGGACGACGAGGATGAGGATGGAGATGACCTGCTCCATCACCACCATGTGAGTGGCAGCCGTCGCTGAGGCCGCGCCCTCGCTGGGGCGCCCAGCCAGGCCCCCCTTGCCAACAATCTTTTCATTAAAGAACATTTTGGAACTTCACGCGCTGCCCTGGCTTTTCTTCGCTCCTCCCTGTTCCTTGAGCAGGGAGCCCAGGTGTCTGGGAGGAGGGACTTGCTGACGCCCTGGCGGCTTCCCACGGAGCGGTGGTCGGGGCTGCGGATGGGTCTCCCGGGAAGGGGACCGGAGGACAGAAGCCGGGCACCCGGCCCTGCGTCTCTCCCCCGCCCCTGCTGCATGCGCTTCCTTTCCCGCCCTCCCCACCCCTGTCTCACTAAGGTTTTTCCTTCAGAAGTGGCCCCCCCCCCCCGGATTATTTTGCATGCCTGTTGCCCTACGGTCTTGCGCCCCGGACCTCCCCTCTGAGCCCAGAGAGGCCGGCTGGGGCGAGCCCAGCCAGAACTGCAGCCCCCTGGCCCCACTCCTCCGACCCTGTCTGTGCCTTCCCAGCCTTGCCCTCCTCCCGGCCGTCCCGGAGCGCAGAACCCGCCTTCCTGCCCGGTGGCGGTGCGGCAGGAGCGCGGGGCCTGAGCCGTGCCTTCCTCCTCAGGGCTCCCACTGCAGCAGCTCGGGGGACCCCGCCGAGTACAACCTGCGCTCGCGCACCGTGCTGTGCGGCACGTGCGGGCAGCCCGCGGACAAGGCTTCCGCCAGCGGCTCGGGAGCCCAGGTGGGCGGAACCATCTCCTCTGGCTCTTCCGCCTCCAGTGTCACGGTCACGCGCAGCTACCGCAGTGTGGGGGGCAGTGGGGGGAGCGGCTTCGGGGACAGCCTGGTCACCCGCTCCTACCTCCTGGGCAGCTCCAGCCCTCGCACCCAGGTGAGTTGGCCTCCCCGCCCGCAAGCAGAGGACCCTGGTCCTTGAGGGTTAGGACAGGCGGGCCCTGTGGGGGGAGGGCCTTCTCCTCCGCAGCCCCGGGGGAGTGGGAGCCTCCTCCCCTCAGCCCAAGACCCTAGACAGTCGGCTCCTGCGTCCTGCCCCTCCCGTCTGAGCCCCAGACTGGAGGGCGGGGGCGGGGCTGGGGGCACGGGGAGGGGCTCCGGGGAGCCCCGCCCCACCGCCGCTCACCCCGGTCCCCTCTCTCTTCTCTCCCAGAGCCCCCAGAACTGCAGCATCATGTAATCTGGGACCTGCCAGGCCGGGGTGAAGGTGGAGGCCTCCTGAGTCCTCCTCACCTCGTGCCCATCCCCCCCAGTCCTGTGCCTCACGGGAGGGGGCCTGAAGCCAAAGAAAATACCCCTTTGGTTTTGTCTTCTATGTTTTGTTTTTTCTAAGAGAACTTATTTTCTACAGTGATTTTATACTGAAGGAGAGACACAAGCAAAAAAAAAAAAAAAAAAAAAAAAAAA